CTGCAGAGCCCGGGACGCAGGCAGGGCCGGCCAGGGTGTGAGTCCCTGGGGAGGGGCAGCTCCCTGAGGCCCGGGCAGCGGACAGCACTGACCCAGAGCCGCCCGCTGGGAACCTCACTGTGAACTCACAGCCCGGCCCCGAGGGGAAGGGCCAGGAGACCATGCTCACCTGCCTCTGCCTTTTCCCAGCTGCCCTGTTCCTGACCCCAGGGGGCGGCCCAGGGCAGGGCGTGCCCTGCTCCAGCTCAGCCCAGGGGCCCGTGCGAGGGAGTGGCCACTCTAACCACATCACTTACTTCAATATGCTGGTCAGTTTGAACAGAAGGCTGGTGACACAGAACATCAGCAGGACTATGGCAATCAGCAAGGCGACCCCGATGGCCGTCATGATCCTGATGTCAAACATCTTCCCAGCGCCTGGACAGGGAGTGCAGGGCGGTGACTGGCTCCCCTGCCCACAGCCCGCTCAGCCTCAGTGTGTGCTGCTCACACCAAGGAAGAATGAACCCCCACCCACAGGCTATGCCTGTAAAACACGGATGGTCTCCCAGGGGGGCCCAGGGCTTCGGCCGGCCTGGCCACGTGGGGGTCGAGGTTTTATTTGTGGATGAAAACGGACTGAAATGCAAAGTGAGAGAGAAGGAAACAGGACAGATGGTGGGAAGGACGTTCTCCCTCTCGCAGCAGTAACGTGCAGCTAGCGGTGAGTAACAAACAGGCCACACGTGAGCAAATGGTTTCACTCCCACCACCTGCATCTTGTGAACTCTACTCGCTGATGGAGTCAGGACTGACCCTTGCTGCTCATCAAACTTAAAACTAACTATTCTCAGAACAGAACTAAGGGAGCAGCTCTTTCCGAACGCCATGCTGACAGCACTAAGCACGAGCCAACCCACATGCAGTGCTGTTTTCAGGAAGAAAGGCCTTCCATTCTCCTCTGATAACTGTCATGCCACCTTCTGGTTTAAGGAGACTCTAGAAGCCCTTGTCACCAGACCATCCTGTCACTAGGAGACCATGGGCCTTTCTGCCATTTTTCCTCCCAAATCCTCCCAGGAAATTCAATTTGGTTGGAATAAGCAATTTGTGTAATTAACATTGAAATGAGAACCATGGCCCAGGAAGAAAGAATAAACAATATGACGCTGCCCGACCAGTGTGGCTCAGTTGTTGAGGGTCATCCCTTGAATGGTTCGATGGTTCGATTCCAGGTCAGGGCCCATGCCTGGGAAGCGGGCTCAATTCCCAGTAGGGGGCAGCCAATTGATGATTCTCTCATCATTGATGTTTCTCTCTCTCCCTCTCCTTCGTCTCAGAAATCAATAAAACATGTTTAAAATGACATGACTGCCAAGCAGCCTTAGAACACTTACACCCTCGGGTAGGGAGGAAGGCCAACTAGAAAAAAAAATTTCTTAAAGACCTTAGGAAACAGGTTATTGTATCAAACCCGTCACTCGGTACCACACTGGACCTTACTCAGTCAAAGGCTGCGAAAGGGTCGAGCCTGCCACTGAAGAAGGGAGCTATCGCTTCATCCTGTGCGGAGTGCGGCCTGAGACTGGAGAGCTCACTTTAGAGGCCCAGCCATGGTCCAGCTCCAACTTCCGCCACGGGCTGTGACATCACTGCTCCGCACCCCGGCTCTGCCCTGGGGTTCTGAATTCTGTTCCATTGTACTTGGAGTTCAGCCCCCAGGAAGCAGAAATACTATGTTGAATCACTTAATTCTAAGTTTTTACCTTTTTGGGTCGTATTTCCCCTTATTTTCAGAATTTGTTGATCAAAAGCAAATTTAAGATTTCAATTTTAAAAGTAAAGATAAATGTGGGAGGCTAAGAACTCTTAATACTTAATAGTTCAGTGCTAGCCCTAGCGGGTGTGACTCAGTGGTTAGAGCATGGCCCGTGGACTGAAGGGTCCCGGGTTTGATTCCGTCCAGGTCACAAACCTCGGTTGCAGGCTCCTCCCCGGCCCCAGGTGGCAACCAATCGATATGTCTCTTTCACATCAATGTTTCCTTCTCTGTCCACCCTTCCACTCTCGCTAAAGATAATCAATGGACCGCATGTTTGATGGTGATCTACATGATAAGGAAGCTAAAAAATTCCTATCACATAGTGACAGCGTGACATAATTTATTTACGTTTGTGGCAATGCTGGTGTAAACAAACCTGCTTTTCCAGGTGTATGAAAGTACAGCACGCATGACTACGTACAGTACATAGTACTTGATAATGAACATAAACGTCTATGTTACCAACTTATGTATTACACTATACTTTTTTTTATTAAATAAATCTTTATTGTTCAGATTACAGTTGTTGCTCCTCTTTATCCCCCCATAGCTCCCCTCCAGCTGGTTCCCACCCCATCCCAGGCCCCTACCCCCCCCGCTATCCTCATCCATAGGTGTACAATTTTTGTCCAGTCTCTTCCTGCACCCCCCACACCCGTTTCCCCCTGAGAATTGTCAGTCCACTCCCTTTCTATGCCCCTGACTCACCAGTTTATTCTGTTCGTCAGATTATTTATTCGCTTGATTTTTAGACTCACTTGTTGATAGATGTGTATTTGTTATTCATAATTTTTATCTTTACTTTTTTCTTCTTCTTCCTCTTCTTAAAGAATACGCTTCAGCATTTCATATAATACTGGTTTGGTGGTGATGAACTTCTTTAGCTTTTCCTTATCTGTGAAGCTCTTTATCTGACCTTGAATTCTGAATGATAGCTTTGCTGGGTAAAGTAATCTTGGTTGTAGGTTCTTGCTATTCATTACTTTGAATATTTCTTGCCACTCCCTTCTGGCCTGCCTTGTTTTTTTTTTT